AAATGTCTTGCTGTTGTTTCCCTTCTACGTGGTGGTGGTGACTTTACCGAAAGAACCAAGAATATGAATCCCTGCAGTCACGAAAGCTTTAAATCAAAATGCAAATATTCTTTGGTTATTTCGGTAAAGCCATCACGTAGTGGGTAGAAATATGAAATAATATATTTCGACGTTTCTATCGCAACAACACAAACAATCGTCATCAGGTGTGAAAAAGATCTAATAGTTGCGGTGGAAACCCTCCCCCGTAGAGGCGCTTCATTCTTGATTCGAGGCTTCCGTTGCTGCAGGAATCCATCACAATCTTTGGTTATTTCGGTAAAGTCACGTGGTGGGTAGAAAGAATAATAATATATGACGATGTTTCGATTGCAACACAAGCAATCGTCATCAGGTGTGAAAAGATCTAATAGTTGCGGTGGAAACCCTCCCCCGTAGAGGCGCTTCAATCTTGATTCGAGGCTTCCGTTGCTGCAGGAATCCATCGCAATCTTTGGTTATTTCGGTGAAGCCATCGCGTGGTGGGTAGAATTATGAAATAATATACCACGACGTTTCGATCGCAACAACACAAGCAATCGTCATCAGGTGGGGGACAACCACAGCAAGAAAAAAAAACCTCTGAATTCCCGCAGTCACGAGTGCAGTTTTTTCCTTGCTGTGGTTGTCCCCCCCCCCACCTGATGACGAGTGCCCTGTCGTTGCGATCGAAACGTCCTGATACACAGCCAGTTATGACCTAAACTGGTTAATGACGTCCTTCCAATGATTGCTCGGTTTGTGCCCGTCTTCTCGGATGAAAAATTGTGTCTTGTGTTTATATATCTGGGTGGCTTCATGAGCGAATCTTTGCTGATAGCCGGTTGGCTTGCAGAGTACCTCCGCCTTGGTCAAAAATCTATTTCGCGTTTTGCCCACAGCGTTAAAACAATGATCAGCCACGGCTGAGGTATCGGTCCCACCGTGTTTCAGATCTGCCTTGCGTTCACGAACACGGTCCGAGACATCTACGTGACTTTGCCGAAAGACCCAAAGAATAAGGATCTCTACCTTACCCCCAGCCCCCCCTTTTGGGGGTCCCCCCCCCCCTCCCCCCGGTGGATACCTCCGGTCACGTGACCTACGGGGTCAACCGGAGTGCCATGGCCCCCTTGAACCCCCGCACCCTCCTCCTCCAGGTGGCTGCCACTACGCGCAGCGTGTGCAGTGCCAGCCGTCGCTGTCGATCAGCGCTTGGCGAGCCTCCGCTAGGGGGCCCGTACCACATCCACGTTACAGCGGCGTTGGCGATGTCGTTACGTCGCGCGCCGTGCCTCTCACGACCCGGCTTCACACAGTGACACCTCGTGATGTCCCTGCATCGGTAGCGGTGGCGGTCGTGGTGGTGGTCGTGGCGGTGGTGATGGTTGGTAGTTGTTGTGGTCGTGGCGGTGGTGATGGTTGGTAGTTGTTGTGCTGGTGGTCGCGGTGGAGGTAGTGGTTGGTGGTGGTCGTGGTGGTGGTCGTGGTGGTGGTCGTGGTGGTGGTGGTGATGGTTAGTAGTTGTTGTGCTGGTGGTTGCGGTGGTGGTGGTTGCAGTGGTGGCCGCGGTGGTGGTAGTGGTTGGTAGTGGTGGTGGTTGCGGTGGTGGTGGTCATGGTGGTGGTCGTGGTGGTGATAGTGGTAGTGGGGAGCGATAGTGTAGCGGTTAGCGTGCTGCGCTATGAACCTGGCGACCCGGGTTCGATTCCCGCTCACGGCCAACACCAGTGACGATTATCTGAACCGGTCCCGGGCCTCCCCTAGGTCGACTCAGCCTCAAATGAGTACCTGGTGCGGTGTGTAAACATCGCCACTAGGGAGACAAAGGCGGTCGGGCGTGGTGCTGGCCACCCACCCCCTCGTGTACCGTTCCGGCCTTCATAGGTGCTCGCTAACAGCACTTGCCCCTACAGTCTGTTAAGGCTATATGGGGGATCTTTGATAGTGGTAGTGGTTGGTAGTGGTGGTTGTGGTGGTAGTGGTGGTGGTTGTGGTGGTAGTGGTGGTGGTTGCGGTGGTGGCCGCGGTGGTGGTAGTGGTTGGTAGTGGTGGTGGTCGTGGTGGTGGTGGTTGTGGTGGTGGTCGTGGTGGTGGTAGTGGTAGTGGGTGGTTGTGGTGGTAGTGGTAGTGATAGTGGTTGGTAGTGGTGATTGTGGTGGTAGTGGTCTCCTCGTTGGTGCCGATAGCTAACGCTGTGGTGAGCAGTGCCATGGTGGGAGAGCAAATTTCGATTGGCCATTCCTCTCAGGGCGTTAGTAACCACCACAGTGGCCAAATGGGGGGCTCCGGACGGGTGCGAGGTGTTAGGAACCCCTCCACCTTCAATTTAATTACCACAAAACCAGGAAAACATAATCCAACTAAGCTTGTGCCGGAGGCCCCGGGGAGAACAGGCGTCGATGACGTCTCCTGGCCAAACCCCATTTGGCAGAGCCAGGAAACTCCGTACCCGCGGGGCTCCTCCAGAAACAGCAAAAAGCCACTGTGGGTGGCCACGTGGAATGTTCGAACGCTCACTGCGGAGGAGAGGCTGCCACTCCTCTGTCGGGAGCTGGACCGGTACCGCCTGGATCCCTGTGGTATTTAGGAGGTCCGGTGGGCCGGCTCTGGCTCCTGCCAAACAACAGGGTGTGGCTCTTCTTTTGAACAAAAGAATGAAGGGGGCGTGGGAGCGTGGCGGTGAGGTGTGGGAAGCTGTAAGCCCCTTGCTACTTTTGGCTCGCCTTCCTATCAACCAGAGGCGAGGAGTGGTGGTCGTGGTTACTTATACCCCCTCCAAATATGAACATCAGTTGAGGGATGCATGCAAGGCCGTTGAATCAGATGCTTTCTGTGACCTCCTGTGAAAGGTGCTAGCTAAAGTGGCCCCTCGGGATAGAGTCATCTTGTTGGTTGATTTTAATGCCCGAATTGCTCTTGATGCTGGTTCCTGGTCTGGAGTGATTGGAAGGCATTGGCCAGATCAGCTCAATAACATCGGTAGGAGGCTGCTAGACTTTTGTGCAGCCCCATGGGCTTGTAATTACCAACACGCTGTTCTGGCATCGGCACATCCACACAACAACATGGATGCACGCCTGGTCCAAGCAAGAACATCTGCTGGACTGTATTATTACTGACCGGCAGATGCGGGTCAATGTCCTTGACACCAGGACCTACCGTGGAGCTGATCTGCCCACTGACCATCGACTTGTCATCTGTAAGATGCGCCTGCCATTCTTCCACTCCGGTGGTGGGTGTACACCCAGGATCCCATTCAAACCCACAAGTGGCCTGGTCTCAGCTAGCTGAGGGTAGTTGCGAGCAGGAATTTCAACATCGCTTGCAGCTGGGGTTAGCATCGTCCCCCACTCCTCCTGATGCTGAGGGTAAATGGGCGAGGTTCAGGACTGTGGCTCATGCAGCCGCAACGGCTGCATTGGGCACGCGGTCCAGACCTCCCCAGACACCCTGGCTGAAGGAGGAGGTGTTCCCGTTGGTTGGGAAAAAACGACAGGCCCACTCCCATCGTCTGCAACATCCAATATCGGAGAATGAGGAGGCCTACCGCAGCCTTCGCTCGGCGATTCGGAGAGCCGTGAGGCGCTGCAAGGCATGGGTGGTGGGCGCGGGTTGCTGAGGAGATGGAATCTGCCTCGGTAGCCCGCAATCACAAATCACGTTTTAATTCTATAAAAAAATAACTTGCGGCGCCTTCACCTATCACCATCCTTTAGGGAAAGAACGGCGATCCGATATCCGACCCCCAGGGGGGAGGGGAATTCCCCTCAGCGCAGACAACCTTCACGGGGCAAGGTGCGGACGACCCTGCTAGGGCTGCGTTGCCCCAAATATTGACAGAATTAGCCTCCCCCTGTGAGTGGCTGGCTGAGGTGCCATCTGTTGAGGAAGTACTGAAGGCGATCCGGAGTCTGAGACCAGGAAAGGCAGCGGGCAGAGATGATCTCCCAAGCGAAATGCTGAGGGAGGGTGGCGTTTGTGCACAGACTGCCCTATATGACAGCATCACAACGGTCTGGACCACTGGACGGGTTCCGCAGGATTGGAAGGATGCCCTGGTGGGGGTCCCCCTGTTTAAGAAGGGGGACCGCACAGACTGTAACAACTACAGGGGCATCTCACTCCTCAGTGTACCGGGAAAGGTCCTGGCAAGGATTATTCAGCATCGCCTTGCCAGGCACGCTGAGGAGAGGCTTGCGGAGCCCCAATGCGGTTTCAGGAAAGGGCGATCCTGCACGGATGCCATATTCTCTGTCCGTCTGCTACAACAGAGGTGTAGGGAATTCCAACAAGACCTACATCTCTGCTTCATTGACCTGGTCAAGGCCTATGATACCATCAGTGGACCTGGGCTCTGGGTTGTTCTTCCTGCTTTTGGAGTCCCCTGACTCTCCGCTCACGATCATTAAGGACCTTCATGATGGTGAGCGGGCCCGGGTAAAGCTACGTGATGCTGAGGATGTTGCTGTTGGTGATGTTGATGATGATGATGCTGGTGATGATGATGACGCTGGTGATGATGATGGTGCTGGTGATGATGATGATGCTGGTGATGATGATGATGCTGGTGATGATGATGATGCTGGTGATGTTGATGATGATGCTGGTGATGATGATAATGCTGGTGATGATGATGCGGGTGATGATGATGATGATGATGCTGGTGATGATGATGATGCTGGAAATGATGATGATGCTGGAAATGATGATGATGCTGGTGATGATGATGATGATGCTGCTGGTGATGATGATGATGCTGGTGATGATGATGATGATGATGCTGGTGATGATGATGCTGGTGGTGATGATGATGATGCTGGTGATGATGATGATGATGATGCATGTGATGATGCTGGTGATGATGATGCTGATGCTGGTGATGATGATGCTGGTGATGATGATGATGCTGGTGATGATGATGATGATATAGATGATGATGATGCTGGTGATGATGATGATGATGTCTGCGTCTTCCCCAGCACCCCGGTGGTGAGGAGGTGCTGCTAGAGCAGGCCGGCTCGGACGCTACGGAGAGCTTTGAGGACGTTGGTCACTCAAGCGACGCTCGCGAGCTCTCTGCACGCTACCTCATCGGGGAGGTCCACCCGGTACCACCAACACCACCACCATCACCACCATCAACACCACCAACACCATCAACACCACCCAACACCACCACCACCACTAATACCACTAACACCACACCATCACCACCAACACCATCAACACCACTAACATCATCAACACCACCATCAACACCACCATCAACACCACCAACACCACCACCAACACCACCACCAACACCACCATCAACACCAACACCACCAACACCACCACCAACACCACCACACCATCACCACCACCATCAACACCAACACCATCAACACCACCACCACCACCAACACCACCACCAACAACATCAACAACACCACCAACACCACCACCAACAACATCAACAACACCACCAACACCACCATCAACATCACCAACACTAACACCACCATCAACACCACCATCAACACCACCACACCATCACCACCACCATCAACACCAACACCATCAACACCACCACCAACACCACCACCAACAACATCAACAACACCACCAACACCACCATCAACATTACCAACACTAACACCACCATCAACACCACCATCAACACCACCAACAACATCAACAACACCACCAACAACATCAACATCACCAACACTAACACCACCACCACCATCAACACCACCAACACCATCAACACCACCAACACCACCAACACCACCAACACCACCACCACCACCAACACCACCACCACCACTAATACCACTAACACCACACCATCACCACCAACACCATCAACACCACTAACATCATCAACACCACTATCAACACCACCATCAACACCACCATCAACACCACCAACACCACCAACACCACCACACCATCACCACCACCATCAACACCATCAACACCACTAACACCACCATCAACACCATCAACACCACTAACACCATCAACACCACTAACACCACCACACCATCACCACCACCATCAACACCATCAACACCACACCACCACTAACACCACTAACACCACCAACAACATCAACACCACTAACACCACCATCAACACCACCAACACCACCACCAACATCACCACCAACACCAGCATCACCAGCATCACCATCACCACCATCAACACCACTAACACCACCACTAGCACCATCACCACCAACACCACCAACACCACCACCATCAACACCACCAACACTAACACCATCAACACCACACCACCACCATCAACACCATCAACACCACTAACACCACACCACCACCAACATCACCACCAACACCAGCATCACCATCACCAACATCACCACCATCAATACCACCATCAACACCACTAACACCACCATCAACACCACCACCACTAACACCATCACCACCACTAACACCACTGACACCACCATCAACACCACCATCAAAACCACCATCAACACCACCACCAACACCACCACTAACACCACCACCAACACCACCACCATCATCACCATCAACACCATCAACACCACCAACACCACCAACACCACCATCAACACCACTAACACCACACCACCACCATCAACACCACTAACACCACTAACACCACCATCAACACCACTAACACCACCATCAACACCACCACTAACACCACCATCAACACCACTAACACTGCCACCAATACCACCACTAACACCACCACCAACATCACCATCAACACCACTAACACCACTAACACCACCATCAATACCACTAACACCACCAACACCACTATAAACACCACCAACACCACCATCAACACCACCAACACCACACCACCACCATCAACACCACCAGCACCACCACCATCACCACCACTAACACCACCACACCACCACCATCAACACCACCACCAAACACCACCACCAACATCACCACCAACATCACAACCACAAACTTGGGTTCAAGCCCTGGGTCTGGGTGTCTCTCTCTCTATCAGGGGGTTCATAGTGGCCGTGTCGGAGACACTGAGAGCCTGGGTTCAAGCCCTGGGTCTGGGTGTCTCTCTCTCTATCAGGGGGTTCACGATGGCCGTGTCGGAGACACTGAGAGTCTGGGTTCAAGCCCTGGGTCTGGGTGTCTCTCTCTCTGTCAGGGGGTTTTTAGTGGCCGTGTCGGAGACACTGAGAGCCTGGGTTCAAGCCCTGGGTCTGGGTGTCTCTCTCTCTATCAGGGGGTTCATAGTGGCCGTGTCAGGGACACTGAGAGCCTGGGTTCGAGCCCTGGGTCTGGGTGTCTCTCTCTCTCTCTATCAGGGGGTTCATAGTGGCCGTGATGGAGACACTGAGAGCCTGGGTTCGAGCCCTGGGTCTGGGTGTCTCTCTCTATCAGGGGGTTCATAGTGGCCGTGTCGGAGACACTGAGAGCCTGGGTTCAAGCCCTGGGTCTGGGTGTCTCTCTCTCTATCAGGGGGTTCATAGTGGCCGTGATGGAGACACTGAGAGGCTGGGTTCAAGCCCTGGGTCTGGGTGTCTCTCTCTATCAGGGGGTTCATAGTGGCCGTGATGGAGACACTGAGGCTGGGTTCAAGCCCTGGGTCTGGGTGTCTCTCTCTCTCTATCAGGGGGTTCATAGTGGCTGTGTCGGTGACACTGAGAGCCTGGGTTCAAGCCTTGGGTCTGGGTCTCTCTCTTTATCAGTGGGTTCATAGTGGCCGTGTCAGAGACACTGAGAGCCTGGGTTCAAGCCCTGGGTCTGGGTGTCTCTCTCTCTATCAGGGGGTTCATAGTGGCCGTGTCAGGGACACTGAGAGCCTGGGTTCGAGCCCTGGGTCTGGGTGTCTCTCTCTCTCTCTATCAGGGGGTTCATAGTGGCCGTGATGGAGACACTGAGAGGCTGGGTTCAAGCCCTGGGTCTGGGTGTCTCTCTCTCTCTATCAGGGGGTTCACGATGGCTGTGTAAAATACCCGTAGTGATGTCGACCCATTGTCTTGTTGCAGGACGACAGGAAAATTGAAGATGAGGTAAGAAAAGGTGGCAGCTGCCCACATTTTACCCCACGAACACACACGACCTGCCCATTGTAGACTGATGAAGGAGGTGGGGGAGGTGGTGTTGAAGGTGCTGGTGGTGGAGGTGGTGGTAACAGTGGTGGTGATAACAGTGGTGGTGATAACAGTGGTGGTGAAGGTAGTGGTGAAGGTGGTGGAGGGTGGTGGTAACAGTGGTGGTGGATGAGGTGGTGGTGGAGGAGGCGGTGGTGGTGGAGGAGGTGGTGGTGGTGGTGGTGGTGGAGGAGGTGGTGGTAGAGGTGGTGACGTTGGTGGATGAGGTGGTGGTGGTGGTGGAGGAGGTGGTGGTGGTGGTAGTAACAGTGGTGGTGGATGAGGTGGTGGAGGTGGAGGTGGTGGATGTGGTGGTGGTGGTGGAGGAGGTGGTGGTGGTGGTGGAAGAGGAGGAGGAGGTGGTGGAGGTGGTGACGGTGGTGGAGGTGGTGACGGTGGTGGAAGTGGAGGTGGTGGTGGTGGTAGAGGAGGTGGTGGAGGTGGTGGAGGTGGTGGAGGTGGTGGAGGTGGTGGAGGTGGTGGAGGTGGTGGTGTTGGTAGAGGAGGTGGTAGTGGTGGTAGTGGAGGAGGTGGTGACAATGGTGGAGTTGGTGATGGTAGTTGGCGGTGATGGTGGAGGCAGTGATGGTGGGGCGGATGGTGGAGGTGATGCTGATGGTGGTGATGGTGGAGGTGGTAGTGGAGTTGGTGATGGTAGATGGAGGTGATGGTGGAAACAGTTATGGTGGTGGTGGAGGTGATGGTGGACTTGGTGGTGGAGGTGGTGGATGATAGAAACCTTCCCCCACTCCCCCCCTGCTTCACCCCCGCTCCACCCCCCACTCCACCCCCACTCCACCCCCCGCCCCACCCCCCGCTCCACCCCCACTCCACCCCCCACTCCTCCCCCCACTCCACCCCCCACTCCACCCCCCACTCCACCCCCCGCTCCACCCCCACTCTACCCCCCACTCCACCCCACTCCACTCCCCACTCCACCCCCCACTCAACCCCCACTCAACCCCCACTCCACCCCCCACTCCACCCCCCACTCCACCCCCCACTCCACCCCCCGCTCCACCCCCCGCTCCACCCCCACTCTACCCCCCGCTCCACCCCCACTCAACCCCCACTCCACCCCCCACTCCACCCCCCACTCCACCCCCCACTCAACCCCCACTCCACCCCCGCTCCACCCCCGCTCCACCCACGCTCCACCCCCCACTCCACCCCACTCCACCCCCGCTCCACCCCCACTCAACCCCCACTCCACCCCCCACTCCACCCCCCGCTCCACCCCCCACTCCACCCCCCACTCCACCCCACTCCACCCCCGCTCCACCCCCGCTCCACCCCCACTCCACCCCCCACTCCACTCCCACTTCACCCCCACTCCAACCACGCTCCACCCCCCACTCCACCCCACTCCACCCCACTCCACCCCGGCTCCACCCCCGCTCCACCCCCTACTCCACCCCCACTCCCACCACGCTCCACCCCTGCTCCACCCCCCACTCCACCCCCCCTCCACCCACGCTCCACCCCCCACTCCACCCCCACTCACCCCCGCTCCACCCCCACTCCACCCCACTCCACCCACGCTCCACCCCCCGCTCCACCCCCACTCCACCCCCACTCCACCCCCACTCCACCCCTCGCTCCACCCCCACTCCACCCCCACTCCAACCACGCTCCACCCCCCACTCCACCCCCCACTCCACCCACGCTCTACCCCCCACTCCACCCCCCCACTCCACCCCGGCTCCACCCCCGCCCCACCCCCCGCTCCACCCCCTACTCCACCCCCACTCCACCCCCACTCCACCCCCCACTCCACTCCCACTCCAACCACGCTCCACCCCCCACTCCACCCCCCCTCCACCCCCCACTCCACCCACGCTCCACCTCACACTCCACCCCACACTCCACCCCCACTTCACCCCCCACTCCACCCACGCTCCACCCCCACTCCACCCCCACTCCACCCCACACTCCACCCCCCACTCCACCCCAATCCACCCCGGCTCCACCCCCGCTCCACCCCCCACTCCACCCCCCACTCCACCCCCACTCCACTCCCACTCCAACCATGCGCCACCCCTGCTCCACCCCCCACTCCACCCCCCCTCCACCCACGCTCCACCCCCCACTTCACCCCCACTCCACCCCCCCCTCCACCCACACTCCACCCCCGCTCCACCCCCCTACTCCACCCCCCACTCCACCCCCCACTCCACCCCCACGGCTCACTCTGCGTGCTTGTTCTGCTTTGCAGGACGTTCTGACCACCACCACCACCACCACCTCGGACTCCAACCAGAGGTAACCAATCCCGCTCACCGCGCCCGTCACGTGACCATTTGACCCCTTGCCCACGGTGACCCCTTGATCGTGTGACCCTGGGTCCTGGTGGCCATGTGACCCTATGACCCGGTAACACATTTACCCTGTGACCACGTGACCCCGGCGACCCTTTGACCCGGTGACCCCCCTTGATCACGTGACCATGTGACCCCTTGCCCACGGTGACCCCTTGATCACGTGACCCGGTGACCTTGTGACTCGGTAACCCGTTCACCCTGTAACCACGTGACCTCTGACTCTTTGACCCCCCCCTTGACCACGTGACTATGTTACCCCTTGCCCAGGTGACCCCTTGATCATGTGACCCGGTGACCTGGTGACCACGTGACCCTGTGACCTGGTGACCACGTTACCCCTGTGACCCCGTGTCCTCCCCCCTCGGCGTCCCCGCAGCTCCTGGACGTCCTTGCTGGTGCCGGCTGCCGTAGCCCTGCTGGTGGCTCTCGCCTACAACGTCTACTCGTCTAGTACCACCGCCGACCCACTAGGCCCACCGCCTACCCACTAGGCCCACCGCCTACCCACAAGGACCACCGCCGACCCACTAGGCCCACCGCCTACCCACTAGGACCACCGCCTACCCACTCGGCCCACCGCCTACCCACTAGGCCCACCGCCGACCCACTAGGCCCACCGCCTACCCACTAGGCCCACCGCCTACCCACTAGGCCCACCGCCTACCCACTAGGACCACCGCCTACCCACTAGGACCACCGCCTACCCACAAGGACCACCGCCTACCCACTAGGCCCACCGCCTACCCACTAGGACCACCGCCCTCCCACTCGGCCCACCGCCTACCCACTAGGACCACCGCCTACCCACTAGGCCCACCGCCTACCCACTAGGCCCACCGCCGACCCACTAGGCCCACCGCCTACCCACTAGGTCCACCGCCTACCCACAAGGACCACCGCCGACCCACTAGGCCCACCGCCTACCCACTAGGCCCACCGCCTACCCACTAGGACCACCGCCTACCCACAAGGACCACCGCCTACCCACTAGGCCCACCGCCTACCCACAAGGACCACCGCCTACCCACTAGGCCCACCGCCTACCCACTAGGACCACCGCCTACCCACTCGGCCCACCGCCTACCCACTAGGACCACCGCCTACCCACTAGGCCCACCGCCTACCCACTAGGCCCACCGCCGACCCACTAGGCCCACCGCCTACCCACTAGGTCCACCGCCTACCCACAAGGACCACCGCCGACCCACTAGGCCCACCGCCTACCCACTAGGCCCACCGCCTACCCACTAGGCCCACCGCCTACCCACTAGGACCACCGCCTACCCACTAGGACCACCGCCTACCCACAAGGACCACCGCCTACCCACTAGGCCCACCGCCTACCCACAAGGACCACTGCCTACCCACTAGGCCTACCGCCTACCCACAAGGACCACCGCCTACCCACTAGGCCCACCGCCTACCCACTAGGCCCACCGCCTACCCACTAGGACCACCGCCTATCCACAAGGACCACCGCCTACCCACAATCCCCTCTGCCTACCCACAAGCCCAGCATCCTCCACGTCTAACCAGGCTCTCGACTACCCAGAATCCTCTATTTTACCCAGGAGGCTTTGCTGCTAATCGCCCGGGGAGGTTTGTCCGCCCAGTTAGCCTCTGCCGCCGACCCACGATCCCCTCCGTCCGTCGTCCACACGAGCCTCCGTTTACACCCCGAAGTACTTTGCCTCTGCCTCGACGGATACTCGGGGAATTATCTGCCGAACCCAGAGGCCTTTCCAATTTTCCCAGGAGCCTTTGCGTCTTCCCATAACCCTCTCTCGCCTACCTAACAATCCCCCGGGTTTTTTTTTTATCGTCCAGAGTTTTGTATCTGCCTACCCCAGAAGAGTCGACTCTTACCCAGAACCCCTTGCAACTTTCCCAGAATCTTCTCTGCCCTCCCACGAGCCCCTCTGTGCACCCAGGATGGGCCTCCCTTGTGCTTTTTATTCCGTGTGTGACCGGGAATGGAACTCGGGACGCCGGGGATCGTAGCGCAGCGCGCTAACCGCTGCACCACCGCTCCCCGTCGCCATCGCTACCTCCATGATCACCACCATCGCTACCCACCATCGCTATCGCCGTTATTGCGGTGCTGGACACCCACTGCGAGCGGGTAGGTGAATTGGTGGGTGGGTGGGTGAGTGAATGGATGAGTGAATGAACGAGTGGGCGAGTGAAGGAGTGGGCGAGTAAAGGAGTGGACGAGTGGGTGAGTGAACGAGTGGGCAAGTGGGCGAGTGGACGAGCGAGTGAAGGAGTGGGCGAGTGGACGGGTGGACGGGTGGGCGAGTGAACGGGTGGGCAAGTGGGTGAGTGAACGAGTGAGTGGGTGAGGGAGTAAGTTGGTGAGTGGGTGAGTGGGTTGGTGAGTGGGTGAGTGGGTGAGTGAGTGAAGAGTGGTGAGTGGGTTGGTGAGTGGGTTGGTGAGTGGGTTGGTGAGTGGGTTGGTGAGTGGGTTGGTGAGTGGGTTGGTGAGGGAGTGAGCGAGAGGGTGAGTTAGTGGGTGAGTGAGGGAGTGAAGAGTGGGTTGGTGAGTGGGTGAGTGGGTTGGTGAGTGGGTTGGTGAGTGGGTGAGTGGGTTGGTGAGTGGGTGAGTGAGGGAGTGGGTGAGTGGGTGAGTGGGTTGGTGGGTGGGTGAGTGAGTGGGTGAGTAGGTGAGTGAGGGAATGAGTGAGTGGGCGAGTGAACGAGTGGACGAGTGAGTGGGCGAGTGGGCAGGTGGGCGAGTGGGTGAGTGAAGGAGTGGGCGAGTGGACAAGTGGGCGAGTGAACGAGTGGGCGAGTGAAGGAGTGGGCGAGTGAGCGAGTGGGCGGGTGGACGAGTGGGCGAGTGAAGGAGTGGGCGAGTGGACGGGTGGGCGAGTGGGTGAGTGGACGAGTGAGTGGGCGAGTGAGCAAGTGAGTGGGCGAGTGAGTGGACGAGTGGGCGAGTGAGCGGACGAGTGGGCGAGTGAACGGGCGAGTGGACGAGTGAACGGGCGAGCGAACCGGCGAGCGAACGGGCGGGCGAACGGGCGGCGTGTTTGGCCGAGCGAACGCATCCACGGCAAACCGCTGCCGCGCGACCAACCGCGGTCATTTTCCCGTCGGGCGGGCGGTTGGGGAGGAGTGGGCGTGTCCCTGACGACACAGGGTCGCGGGCCACGTCGTACGAACCTCTACGGCGGTGTGCCCCCGGGGTCCAGAGCGAACGGAAGTCGAAATCGTCATTTTGTTTAATGTTTGGCGAACCAGTCCCCGCCACGACCCACCAGACACAAATCCTCGCGTCCTTCACCCCGAGCGCCCGTCGCCGCCGGAGGGGCCGTCCATACATGACGTCACGCACCGGGGTGGGGGCGGGGCGGGGGGGGGGTCAGATATTGGTGACGAGTGGGGAGGGGGAGTGGTTTGAGAAACGTGACGTCACATCAAAACGCTGCAACTTTATAAATAAGTACAGGCGCAACGCGTTCTGCTGCTTGATTAAAGAGACTTCGTTGATAAATGTTTTACCCTACAACATCGCAGTGTGCAGCGCCACGTTAAATAACGCGCTGCGACGACAACAATGGTTTAAAGCGATTTGAAGCGTCAATTTTGATTTAAAGCTTTCGCGACCGCAGGGATTCATATTGTTGGCTCTTTCGGTAAAGTCACCGCCGCGTAGAATGGGGAAACAATAAAATAATAAAAAAATATAAGACAGTAAAAATTATCGCGACGTTTCGACTGCAGCAGCACAAAGCAATCATCGCCATCGTCGGGTGTGAAAACCACAGTAAAGAAAAAATGTATCGTCTTATATTTTTATTATTTTATTGTTTCCCTTCTACGTGGTGACTTTACCCACACCTGATGATGATTGCTGCTTTGTGTTGCAGTCGAAACGTCGCGAGAATGTTATCGTTTTAGATTTTTAGCATTTTATTGTTTCCCTATCTACGTGGCGGTGACTTTCACCGAAAGAACCAAGAATATAAATACGACTTGAATCACGTTTTATTTTTAAAATGGAAATATGGCTTTGTGACGTCATTTGAGAGGGGGTCTGACTTTTTGTGACGGTGGTGGGGGGGGTAAGGAGAGGCGGTCAAAAATCGTTCAAAATCGCGTGAAGTCATTTGTGGGCGACCCCAAAATTTCTGCAGGTCGCGGACGAGACTTTGAGATCACGTGACCTGCTTTGCCGGCTCCGAAATGTGACGACGGGTTTTTTTTCTTCCCCATTTTGTTTTTTTTTTGGGCAGTCCTCTGGCCCCCCCTGACACCGTTTTGGCACGAGGCACAAAAGAAAGCCGTCTCTGGTGCGGACCAATCGGTTTGCAAGGACAACGCGTCATCACATTACGAGCGAGCGTGGTTTTTGTTTTTCGTATTCTGACCAGTGCAGGCCGGCCGAAACTGAATTTCTGCTTTCGGGCCGAAGCCGGAAGTTACAAATTTTTTAACTTTCGGGCCGAAACCGGAAGTTACAAATTTAACTTTCGGCCGAAGCCGAAAGTTGAAAAAATAACTTTCGGCCGAAACCGGAAGTTAAAAGTGAAGTTTCGGCCCAAACCGGAAGTTAAAAATTTACTTTAGGACGAAGCCGGAAGTTGCAAATTTACTTTCGGCGAAACCGGAAGTTAAACATTTACTTTTGGCCGAAAACCGGAAGTTAAAAATTTACTTTCGGCCGAAACCGGAAGTTACAAATTTACTTTTGGCCGAAACCGGAAGTTAAAAATGTACTTTTGGCGAAACCGGAAGTTTAAAATGTACTTTCGGCGAAACCGGAAGTTACAATTTACTTTCGGCGAAACCGGAAGTTAAACATTTACTTTCGGCCGAAACCGGAAGTTAAAAATTTACTTCCAGCGAAACCGGAAGTTTAACATTTACTTTTGGCCTAAACCGGAAGTTGAACATTTACTTTCGGCCGAAACCGGAAGTTAAAAATTTACTTTCAGCGAAACCGGAAGTTGAACATTTACTTTCGGCGAAACCGGAAGTAAAAAATTTACTTTCGGCTGAAACCGGAAGTTAAAATTTTACTTTCAGCGAATCGGAAGTTGAACATTTACTTTCGGCCGAAACCGGAAGTTGAACATTTACTTTCGGCCGAAACCGGAAGTTAGAAATATACTTTCAGCGAACCCGGAAGTTGAACATTTACTTTCGGCCGAAACCGGAAGTTAAACATGTACTTTTGATCGAAACCGGAAGTTGAAAATTTACTTTCGGCGAAACCGGAAGTTAAACATTTACTTTCGCCCGAAACCGAAAGTTACAAATTTTAACTTTCGGCCCAAACCGGAACGACGCCGAAAGAGGCCATTCGCCAACTTCCGGCGCCGAGAACCGAAACCGAATGTCGGCCGGCCTCTGCCCACCACGAACATCGTGGTCGGCGCAGTGGCGCGATTCCTCGTCGGAAGGTTCCGGTTTGGTGTTTTAACTCGTCTTAACACGCAGGCTGTTTTTGGCAGCCGGCACCCTATCATCGAAACTTCGAAGCTTTCGGTTAGCGCATCGTGTGGAGCTCGTCGAGATGAGGAGGGCTGCCGCGTCGTCCGCCTTCGACGGACGACCCAAATGACGTCGGGAGGGGAGGGATCCCGCGCCGTGACGTTCATATCGACGGAAGGTTGACGCGGGAAAACGGGAACTCGTCTCAATCTTTCGTTTGGAGTCGCCCGCGTGGGGTTCGGAGATAAACGGAAACTGCGTCGAGCCGACCGCGGTAGTCGTCGGTTTTTCTCTGAAACCCTCGCCCAGGTGACTTGGCCCGAGAGACCCGAAGGATATGACGCGGCGCGAGGGAACCGATCTGTTTGGGGGGCGGCGGCGGGGGGGGGGGGGGGGGAGAGGTGTTCAGTTTTTATCCGATTTTTGGCAACGAAATTCACACGAAGAAGCAACGATTCTGCGGTCGCCGGACTGATTCCGTAGTTGCAGAATAGCCGTGGGGTTGTGATCTCCGCGCGCGCGCGTGTAATCTTGCATCGACGTTCTACACTTGATAACACACACACACACGTATATAATATATATGTGCGTGTTGAATGATCACACCGTCTTGTCGAGTTTTAATGAGGCGTGAGAGCGGTGTGCCCGTTTACGTGGCCGTCAACCTGAACACTCGGTGTCCATCGACAGGAATGCGGGGTAAACCGTGTGGGTTGACAGGTCTGCTACTATACTACACTATACACTACACTATTCGCTACTACACACCACGCTACTAAACACTACACTGCTATACACTACACGATACACTACTATACACTACACTACTACACACTACACTACACTATATGCTACACTACTGCACACCACACTACTAAACACTACACTATACTATACGCTACACTACTGCACACAACACTACGAAACACTACACTACTACACACTACACTACTATACACTACTATACTACACTATACACTACACACTGCTACACACCACACTACTAAACACTACACTACTATACGCTACTATACACTACACTACTATACACTACACTACTACACACTGCACTATACGCTACACTACTATACACTACACTACTATACACTACACTACTATATGCTACACTATACGCTACACTATACACTACAACACACCACACTACTAAACACTACACTACTATACACTACACTATACACTACTATACACTACACTACTACACACTACACTATACGCTACACTACTATACACTACACTATACACTACTATACACTACACTACTACACACTACACTATACACTACACTACTATACACTACACTACTATACACTACACTACTACACTATATACTACTATACACTACACTATACACTGCTACACACTGCACTATACACTACTATACACTCCACTATACACTGCTACACACTACACTACTACACACTACACTATACAATACTACACTATACACTACTACACTATACACTACTACACTATACACTACTATACACTACACTATACACTGCTACACACTACACTATATTACTACACACTACACTACACTACTACACACTACACCATACACTACTATACACTACACACTACACTACACGCTACACTACACTATACACTACTATACACTACACTATACACTACACTACTATACACTACACTCTACACTACATTATACACTACACTATACACTGCACTATACAATACACTATATACTATATTATACACTACTACACACTACA